GTCCACAGCAGGAGATCATTCAGGCCTGGGGTTTCCCACTGACTGGTGGGATAACTTGTCTAATCAGCAGCCTTTTACCATCCATGACTAACTGTGTAAGTGCTTGGGATAGAATGCATTGTTTTATTATATTAAAAAAAGAAAAGAAAAAAGGACAAGTTAGTTAGATCCACCCCAATGCTAGCCAGCTGAGATCTAGAAGACGATACCAGACAGGCCTAGGCGTCTGCCCAGATGACCAGACTCCCCCACTCCTCACTGAGCTCCACTTCTCTGCCACACAGAGCTCTCCCTGATTCCCCCATCTTCTAAATTACTCAGCTACAGAGCCAAAGTATAAGGGCCACACTAACACTGACCTTAATCATTACACTGAAACTGCTCTCTCCAAAGTTACTAAACTCCTAGTTTCCACATCCAATGGCCTTTTCTCAGCCCTCATTCTCCTTAACCTTTGACCCTGTTGATCCCTCTCTCCCCCTTGATAATTTCTTCTCTCTAGGTTTTTGGGACACTGCTCCCTTCCAGTTTTCCTCCTCTGACCACTCCTTTTCTGACCTCTTTGATGGGTCTTTCTCCTCCGAATGCCTTAGTCCCCTTAGGTGCTCTTTAGGCTTCTATCCTAGGTCCTCTTCTCTTCTCCTACCATATTACTTCACTTGGTGAGCTCATCATCTCTCAGGGATTTAATTACCACCTCTATGCTGACTGTTCTCAAATCTACCTATCCTGCCCCAACTGCCCATTTCCAACTGCCTTACAGACATCTTAAACTGGATATCCAACAAACATCTTAAACTCAATATGTCTGAAACAAAAGTCACCATCTTTTCTACAACCTTCCCCACCCCTAATCCTACCTTCCATATTACTGTAGAGGGTAACACCATCGTCCCAGTCCATTAGGCTCCAAACCTAGGAATCATCCTGGATTCCTCTCTATCTCTCACCACTCATATGCAAGCTATTGCTAAGGTCTGGCAACATCATCTTTGCAAATGAGCCCCCTCTTCCCCTCTGACACTGCCACCATTCTAGTGCTGGCCCTCATCACCTCATGCCTTGATCACTGCCATAGCCTGCTGGTGAGTCTGCCTGCCCCAAGTCTCTCTCCACTCTAATCCTTTCTCCATTCTGCCACTAAAGTGATTTTCCTAAAATGAAGGTCCAATCATATCACTCCACATCTCCAACTCAAATACAAATACAACTCAAATCCAAAAGCAAATACAAAATGTGTTTCCTGGCATTCAAAACCCTTCATAACCTAGCCCCCTCCTACCTTTCCAGTCTTCTTACCCCTTACTGCCTGCCATGTTCTTTTCAATCCAGTGACAAAAGCCTTCTGGCTGTTCCTCAAGCAAGACACTCCATCCTTGGTTCCAGGCATTTTCTCTGGCTGTTCCCTATGCCTAGAATTTTCTCCCACCACTGTTTGAACTACTGACCTCCCTGGTTATCTTTAAATCCCAATTAAAACTATACCTTCTATTGGAAGCCTTCCCCAACTCCACTTAATTCTAGAGCTTTCCTTCTTTTGATTATTTCCTGCTTATCCTGCACAGAGCTTGCTATGTGTAAGTGTGTGTGTATGTGTGAATTCTGAAATACAAGCAAATTACACAAGAATTTGAAGAAGTTTTGAGAGCTTTGGTCTATGTAGCTGTATTATCTAATTCATTCGAACATGATTATAACGCAATATGTTTTACTATATACAACTCATCTGATAAAATCGGAAATTATTTACTTAGTCTATTTTGACACCGCGTCACAGTGCTTTGTTATATTGAAGTAAAATAAGCATCTCTTAGGTAAATTCGTGTGTCCATTAAACTTAGACCTAGAGGTCACCTACCTATAAAGAGCATTGTTCCTTCCTTGCTCCTGTATAGGATTAGATTCAGAGCAGCATCTCATTCTCTTAATGGGCAAGGATCAGCTAGATTAAATAACAAGAGCAAATAATTGAATTTAATAGCCAGAGTGAAACATTTTTTGATAAAATAACAAGATCAGATGAGTATAAATGTTTCTAATGGGAAGCAAAGATCTTGAGCATGTTCTAACAACAAGTTCTAAGAATTGGGTTCACATTTCTTTATATGCAATTGTATTGTTCCCCCTCTGCATGAATCAGGCAATTTAAGAGGGCTAGTTGTTATGTGAATTTCTTAAATACATCAACATAGCATTTTGCTAACTTACATCACAAGGCAGTTATAGGTAATAAACAAGTTTCTTACCTTTCTGGGACTTGAATCCAAGCTGAAGAAATGAAGACAAACACCAGAAGTTAATTGATGGTGGAGTCAATGTCAATTTAAAAGGTACTTTCAGCCTCAGTTTGTGTAACTAAATTGGTAAACAATAATAATAATAATAATAACCAGGAGAGCTCATTTTACAAGTCAGATTTTCATAGATTCTTTCAGCTTGTTGCTGGCGGTGTCTAAATTAAGTATCTGCTTTAAATGAAGACAGGAGCAGCAACGAGTAGGGAAAAAACACAAATTCTCTAGTGTAGAGGTTCCTAATTTGATGTTCTTCAGATAACCCTGTAATTAATAGGATTAGAACCATAAGGATGGAGATAATTTCCACCACATGACTTCTTTATTGGCAAAACAAAATTAAAGTGACTGTATTAAATCCTATTTGCCAGAGATTTTAACAGAAAGAGTTCTCTACAAGTGACCTGAAACAAAGAAGAAGATCTGTTATAAGAAGCTACTCTGAGAATTAGCCTATTACAGAATGCATAAAAGGAAAGTTTCCAGAGGATCAGACTAGGAGATGCTTTCAGAAACCAGACAGCTATGTGAGATATCTGAGCTCTAAAGGTATGATGAACTGATGAAATGGATAGGGAGAGTGGGTTACCCATCCCTTTCACTCCTCATGTACCACCGTTTTTTGTAAGGCCTACTTGACAAAAGGTACTGCCCCCCAACAGTTGTTGTCAATGTATCAGTCAGTCTGATTCATTGAGGAAATTATCTCTCAGTGAATCAGAGATGAAGAATGAATTGTTTTAAGTTGTCTTATTTTTTTTCTGGTGTAAACTGTACAGATATCTCTAGTTTTCATGCTCTTGGTATTCAAATACTATGATGGCTCTGTGTATTTATTTGATTCTCTTTCATTAATATGTGCTTTAGCAAGCACTTTAGTAAAACATAATATCCTTTCACTAAAAACAGATTTTTAAAGTAATAGGCATAGAATAGTATTACAAATTAAGTATCTTAGGTTCTTAGAATTTCTTTCATTACTATCTGATCTTTTTTTGGCTTTAAGGTATATTTGTAGTATTTTAACCTTTTTCCTTCCATTAATATTATTTTGTTTCATTGCTAGGGTTAAGCAATTTGGTAACTTGTGTTCTGTTTTAAGCTTTTTTATTTATTGTTGTTGTTCGGTTGTTTTCAGTTATGACTGATTTTCCATGACCTAATTTTTGGGTTTTCTTGGCAAAAACACTGGAGTGGTTTACTATTTCCTTCTCCAGCTCATTTTACAGATGAGGAAACTGAGGCAACCAGAGTTAAGTGACTTGCCCAGGCATAACTAGTAAATGTCTAAGGCCAGATTTGAATTCAGGAAGATGTCTTCCATATTTCACGTCCAGTGCTCTATCCACTGCACCACCTAGCTGCCCCTATCTATCTCCTTTATAAATATCATCTTAACTATGTCACTCTTATGGTATTTTTAGGTAAACTGCATTTTCATACTAAGTGTGACTTAAGTGACTTATACCTGACACCTGCTAGAGTTCACTTCTTTTCTATAGAACAGAACATTGCCCACATCCATACCCTTTCCTCTCACCCCTTCCCTACAACATACAATCCAGCTCTTTTTTCTTATACCTAGACCAGAGGTTTCATCATTCTTTCCTTGTCCAGTTCTTAGCCAATCTTGGTTGCAGACATTCCCCCTTCTGTCTCTTTCTCTACTTGGTTTAGAGCTAATAAAACATGTAGCCTCGTGTTTAAATAACTTAATCCAATTGGATCACAAGAGAGGTACTGATTTCTAATCTTCTTTCACCACTTTTCTCCTTTCAGGAATGCTAAAAGATTGATAGGAATTCACGGGCTGCCTGTCTCTTAAAATTAAGCAGTGAATAAAAGATCCTTTTCAATCTCCCTATCACATAATCTCAAATAGACTTTTATCTCTTTTCAATCTTGAATTTTGCCCTACCAAATAAACTTGATAATTGTTCTACAAGAAGACTTAAAGAGTGAAAAGAAAGATAATAGAAAATTGGGAATGAGAGAGAAAAAAATAGCAACAAGGGGTTTCTAGATGCTGGAAACTGGAAGATTGGTTCATTTTTAGACAGATGATAGTATTATGTGTCACAATAACAAAAAACCCTGTGTAATACACTGATTCTCTTCCAAGGATCTTGCACTGTTTTATATTTAGATGTTCCAAGACCACACAGTGAATCAGAATTAAAACCTAGGATAGAAGTTACCTTCTCTCCCATTTTAGTGTTTTTTAATTGAGAATTATCTCTGGGGCAAAAGGTGCTATGGCTCAATGATGTCAAACTCAAATAGAAACAGGGGCCACTAATTCATACCTAAGTATCCCTGGGGGGACATATATTGACTTAGTTTTAAAATGTAATGTTATCTATGTTTTATTGTGTTTTTCTTTGTTGTGTTTCATTTTAATCTGCTTCTGACAGCATTCAGGAGTGTTATGGGTCAGATGTAGCCCTTGGACCATGTTTTTGACACTTCTGGTGTAGTTGACATAGTATTGGACTTGGAAAGTCCTGGGTTTGAATCTTGTCTCAGAAACTAGTTGCATGATCCTACCTTAGCACCTTACAGGGTCCTTGTAAGAATCAAAAGAGCTAATATGTATAAAATAGTTTGCTATCTTAAAGTACTATATAAATGTCAGTCATTGTTTTTACTGGTAATATTCACCTCTCCCACTTACTGCTATGGGACCTTAAGTAGTCCATTAAGATCAGATGATCATAGATTTAGAATAAGAAGGAATTCTATGAACAATAAGACCTGTAGAAGTGGAAAGAGTGATATACTCAGAGTCATAAAGACTGAGGTTCATATCCTGCCTTAGTCACTGACTATGTAAATTTTGGCAGGGCACGTAACTCTTCTTTGTTTCAATTTCTTCATCTATAAAAAGAGAGGGATGACCTCTAAGGTTCTCATCATTAAGTCTATGATCCTATGGAAGCAAATTTTGCAAACAAGGAAACCAAGGCTCAGGCAGGTTAAATGACTGACAATATTAAGTGTCACCAGGCAGCTAGGTCATGCAATGGATAGAGTGCTGGGCCTGGAGTCAGGAAAGTAACTGAGTTCAAATCTGGCCTCAGACAGTACCTGTGTGGGCAAGTCACTTAACCTTGTTACCTCAGTTTCTTCACCCGTAAAATGAACTGGAGAAGGAAATGGCAAACCACTCCAATATCTTTGTCAAGAAAACCCCAAATAGGGTCACAAAGAGTCAGACATGACTGAAATGACTGAATAACAACAACATATTAAGTGTCACAGCTAGGATTCAAATTCAAGTCCTCTGACTCTAAATCCATTGTACCACACTGTCTCCCCCCATGCCATAGGGTAATTGTGAAGATCAGATAAGGTATTATACATAAAATTTGTAAGTTATAAAGTGCTACAAAAGTAAAGTTGTATTGTTATCATCCAGAGTGACTGAACAATTAATAAGCCTTCATTGTAGTGATAAATATTATTAGTAATAATATTGCTAGAATATGATAGATTACAAAGTAAATCTATCATAAATACAAAGTAAAAAAGCAGCAAAATTGGAAGAAAATGTGTGATATTTATTGAACTAAAAGGTCTGGAAATAGGAAATGGGGAGATAATCTAATAATCATCAGCTTCCCCAAACGACTAAACCAAAGAATGTATTTCAAGAAATCATGAAAGAAAATTGCTTAGAAGTATTGAAACCTGAGAGCAAAGAGTAGCTAGATAGACTCCACAGATCATCACGAGAAAGAAAGCTCAGATGTAACATACCAAGGAATATGATTGGCAAGATCCTGAGCTCCTAGGTCAAGGAAATAAAACTGCATGGCTAGAATGAAGTCATAAACCAAGTGATCTCTGTTATAATTGCATAGCGTGATGCATCACTTGTAAGAAAAGGAAGAAACTGGCAGAAGAAGCTATACTGAAAGGCAAAGGAAAATGGCTGCCATCCAAGAAACACTTACACTGAAAAGTTGAGTATAATGTTACTCAAATGGATCCTTGATCTAATTAATGTGGATATTCTGAACAATAATGCAGCTGTCTCTTTCTGTGTTCTACCATAAGTTCTCCACGAGGGGTCCACTTAATGCAGTAAGCACTTTTTTCACTTACACCTGACAACACCCACTATATGCCTCTTCCTTACCCTCTGAGTGATAACCATTTAAATTCTTCAAAAGTTGTAGTATTCCATAATTCATAGTCATATAGCAGGCAGCAGAAAATGAACTTTTAGCAGAATTGACAATTTCCAAGTATTCCTATTGCATGAACAATTTCTGAGTAAAGTCTTCAAAACACAAACAGCAAATGAAAGTAACTTAAGAAATGAAAATAATTTTGACCATGAAATGGTTAATTGGTTATTAAGTGCTTATATTCTGAAAGAAGGAAAAAGGATTATTGTCTCTTTAGAGTCTCATCATTTCTAAGAGTCAATGAGAGAGCAAAGAGGGATAAAAAGAGAGGGATGACCTCTAAGGTTCTCATCATTAAGTCTAGAGGGATAAAGAGGGCTTTGGCATTGGGGAAAAAAAGAGAATCTAACAACAAGCAATACTCTAAGGAAAAAAATGGGAAGGGAAGTAGAGAGAAATTTAGTATGTCATGTAAATGGGGCACCAAAAGACAATATATTCAAATGCAAAAGTGTGAGATGGAGATACATAAGGATCTCATGAACCTCACTCACATCTAGGCAGAAGAAGGTGGAACTGATTGTTTTTTTAAAGAGAGAACAAAAAACCTCATTTCTCAGATATATAGAGAACTGAGTCAAATTTATAAGAATACAAGTCATTCCCCAATCGATAAATGATCAAAGGATATGAACAAGCAGTTTTCAGATGAAGAAATCAAAGCTATCTTTAGTCATATGAAAAAAAGTGCTCTAAATAACTACTGATTAAAGAAATGCAAATTAAAATAACTCTGAGGTACCATCTTACACTTACTAGATTGCCTAATATATCAGAAAAGGAAAAGGAAAGTATAAATGTTAGAGAAAATGTGAAAAAATTGGGACACTATTGCAATTGTTGGTGGAATTGTGAACTGATCAAATCGATCTGGAGAACAATTTGGAACTATGCTCAAAGGGCAATCAAACTGTGCATAACCTTTGATCCAGCATTACCACTTCTAGCTCTGTATCCCAAAGAGATCATTAAAAAAAAAAAAAAAGGAAAAGACCCTATGTGTACAAAAATATTTATAGCAGCTCTTTATGTGGTAGCAAAGAATTGGAAATTGAGGGAATGTCCATCAATTGGGGAATGGCTGAACAAGTTGTGGTATATGAATGTAAAGGAATACTCTTATGCTTAAAGAAATGACAAGCAGGCAGATTTCAGAAAAACCTGGAAATACTTATATGAACTGATGCAAAGTGCAGTGAGAAAAACCAGGAGAACATTGTACACAGTAACAGCAACATTGTGCAATGATCGACTATGATTGACTTAGTTCTTCTCAGCAATACAATGATCCAAGACAATTCTAAAAGACTAATGATGAAAAATGCTTTCCACATCCAGAAAAAGAATTGATAGAATCTGAATGCAGATCAAAGAATATTATTTTTATTTTCTTAATTTTTTTGTAGTTTTTTGCTTTTGTTCTGTTTCTTCTTCTAAACATGACTAATATGGAAATATTTTACATGATTGCACATATATAACCTATGTCAAATTGTTTACCATCTGGGGTGGAGTGGGGGAAGTAAGAAAATTTGGATATCAAAACTTTATAAAATAAGTGTTAAAAATCATCTTTACATGTAATTGGAAAAAATTACTATTTTTATTTAAAAGAAAATAAATGAATAAAAGAGGGGTCATAGTAATAGAAATACAATTTTTTTTAATGGGGCACTTGGATGGAAGAGGAAATAGGAAGAAATGAGAGGAGGAGAGAAATAGGGAAAGATTGCAAAGCAAAACAATATTAAAGAAGTCTAAATATAGAAGAAGGAAAAAAGTAAGAGCTCAATACCTAGTAATTTGAGTTTGGTCTAGAGGAGGAAGGGGAGGGAGAGAGATGACTTGGATGAGATTTTCCTAGGCCATATAAACTACAGATGTTTAGTGCTAATTTAATTGTTTTTCTTTTTTTTTCTATAAAATAATTTATCAATGAATTATGAAGAGGGAAGAAACATTACAATAGAATTTGAAAGAGAGAAAAGCAAACAACTGTGAATGTGAATAAAATGAACTTGCCCATAGGATGATGGTGGATGGCAGATGGAGTCAAAAGCAAAACTCTATTTATATTTAAGAATCATATTTAAAATACAAAGATGTGTGTGTGTGGAGGGAAGGAGAGATGAGTTAAATCATACTTAGTCTTGGCCTGTGATCTCATTAGCGTAGGGAACTCATGGTGAAGAAACTCTGTCTACTGAGGAAGAGCATCAACTTCTCTATAACTTAGAGTCCTAGAAAGTTGCTGGGGCAGTGAGATATTAAATAATCAGATGTCTAAGATGTATGAAAGCAAAGCCTGAATCCAGGTATCCCTAAATCCAAGGCCAATCCTATATTGACTATGCCATGCTCCTTCAGATGTAAAGAATCATTCATTGGTGTTCAGTCCTTCAGTCATGTCCAATTCTTCATGACCCCATATGTAGTTTTCTTGGCAAAGATATTGGAGTGGTTTGTCATTTCCTTTTCCAGTGGATTAAGGCAAAAAGAGGTTAAGTGACTTGCCTAGGGTCACATAGCTAGTGAGTGTCTGAGATCCAATTTGAACTCAGGGCTTCCTGACTCCAGGCCCAGTGTTCTATCCACTAAGCCACCTACCTACCTCCACACAGAGTTAAAATGAGAGGTTACAGTCAAGTTTATCATGCCTCCACTGAATCTTGAGAAAAAAGAGTATCTAATATTTCAGATGAAGCTGCAGTAAAATATACATATATAAATATATATATATATATGTACAAAATATATAAGAATTGGACCAACTGTAGTGGGCTGTGTGCTGCTCCTTCTCTGCTGCCTCATACAGCCAACTCAAACCCTTTCCCAATTTCTGATCCCACTACCTCCAACCCTGAACCTCACTGGAGCCTAGTATCAATAAGTGACCCTAAGAACTTCTCCACCTTACTCTAGATCTAATTAAGAATGCCCCCTCCCATATGTGGCATGTTATCTATTCTTCACCAAGCCTATTTTTTAAGGTATAAAACTTCCCTACCAGAACCTCAACTTTGAGCATGTATTCTCCCTGACACAACTCCCTCTTCCTCATGCTGAGTGAGTTTCTTGTATCTTGTGGAAATTAACCTCTATCTGTCCATATTACCAGATAGAGTATGTGTTTATGCTTTTGTTTATGTGGCCCACTTTCCATACAACATGATAAAGCTCTTGTTTATACCAGCTTCCCAAGTACTAATTTCCTATAAATACCCTAATAAAGCCATAGTATCTAAATACTTAAATGAAAAACCTAGGGGAAGCTAGGTATCACAGTGGATAGAGCACCAGCCCTTAAGTCAGGAGGACCTGAATTCAAAACCAGCCTCAGACCAAACACTTGACACTTACTAACTGTGCAACCCTGGGCAAGTCACTTAACACCAATTGCCTAAAAAAAAAAAAAGAACAAAAACAAAAAAAACCCTATTGAATGGCAGGAAAACCTAGTTAAGAAAAAAGTAAGTGCTGGGTTATTCAATATGCCCTTTTAAGACTTAAACAAACCAAATGGTAAGATTAAAAAGAAAGAAATTAAGAATCTGAACAACAAAGGCAAAAAAAAACCCCAAATAAACAACAATTAAATATGCTAGATATCTAGCAATTACTGAATAGGAATCTTACTGAGAACCAAATAATACCTTTCAAAAATTCTCCTCCTCCTGGGACCTAAAAAAAACTCATTAATAAATGCATAGAGGCATAAAAATTAAATGAATTTACATGCCATAATGCAATAAAATTTGAATCAATGAGGGAAATATATACAAAAGCCTAAGATTTAAATCACAAAAAGAACCTTCTATCCATCTAGCTGGATTTATAAGCAAATTCTATCAAATACTTTTTTTAAAAAAGCAGATACCTTTTGCCACATAAATTGTTTTTAAAAAATCAAGAAATGCTTTCAATGATACAAATCTTTTCATGATACAGAACCAAGTGAGAGATAAAGCAGATTAAAAAAATACTATAGACCAATATCACTAATTAATTTTTATGTAAAATATGAAATAAAATGTTAACAATTAGGCTATTTCTCTATATTTGAAAAATCACTATAGCTAGGGTGAGTTATTGCAGGAATCCAAAGATAGTTCAATATTAGAAAAATTATAAAAATAATAAATAATATTAATAACAAAACAATAAAATCTATTATTATGATAATAGATTCGGAAATAAAATTTGTAAAACTACAACATTTACATTCAAAATCATTAAAAAGCATAGGAATTATGAAAAACCTTTCTTCAATATGCTCAAACTATCTAAAACAAAGAGTTAACATTGTTTGTCACAGGGAAACATTAGGAATTTTCCCAGTAAATAAAGGAATAAAGCAAAACTGCCTACTATTGCCAGTATTGTTTGATACAGTGTTAGAAATGCTAACCATGGTGGCAAGACAGGAAAAATAAATTGAGGGGGAAATTACAAGTAGAGAAGAGACAAAATCATCTCTGTTTGCATCTCTATTCTAGAATTTAAAAATCTGAGAATCAAAAGAAAAATTAATTGAGACCATAGTGTCCATAAAGTAGTAGAAGTTGATATAAAATAAATATATAAAATCACCAGTCTTTCTATATATTGTTAACAAAACTTAGGAGAAAGAAATAGAAACAGAAATTCCATATAAAAAACTACACACTGTATACCGTTTTACCTAGCAATACTATTATTAGGTCGTTTCCCAAGGGAATCAGGTAAAAAGGAAAAGAATTTATATGTTCCAAAATATTTATCAAGCCTCTGTTTGTGGTGGCAAAGAATTGGAAATTGAGGGGATGTCCATCAATTGGAGAATGGCTGAATAAATTGTAGTATATGATGGTGCCAAGCTCAGCTGACTGAATCTGATCTTGTCCGTATTCCCAGACCCATGAATTGCCCAAGTATGATGATAACATAATCATACCCAGCCTCTGACTACTTTGTAAATATTCCAAACTCTCCCCTCCAAAGATTCCTAAGTTTTCTCTATGGACTTTCCCTTTTTGTGGAAAATAACACACCACATGAAACTGAGACACCCCTAACCCCTCCAACCTGCAGTCTAGTCATTCCCTCTGCCTTAGGACCCTACATAAACCCTGTTCCCAGCCCCCACCTTGGGTACCTCAGAACTTGCTATGTAGCACTCCGAGCTGCAACTCACTGTCCCAGATGAAAAACCTCCATTTTGCTGTATTGGCTGTTTTATCTTTAATTCACATTGACAATGTGGATGGAATACAGTGTGCTGTAAGAAATGATAAACAGGTTGATTTCAGAAAAACAAGGAACGACTTGCTTAAAATAAAGATATCAATTATATATGTGAAGTCATGCAACACAAATTTCCATATTAGCCATGAACAACATATTTTTTTTAAATGTTAGTTGGTCAAGAAGCACCTTCTACATACACGTTTATATCTTTAGATTTCTTCCCCTTTACCATCTTATTGGAAAAATTTCTGCTTATATGTTTAAAATTTCACTCTCAAGATTTCCATTTCTCCTGGACTAACCTCTCCTCTAGACTTTTAGAATGCTAGAACTTACCTATCTTACTTCTAAACCCTTTAAAATATGCTCTCCCCAAATCAAGGTTATATGTCAGCCTATGTCTGGCTTTCCTCTTCTCTATCACAAATTGTAATATGGAGTGATCAATGATGCCCAAGATGTCAGACATTTCTACTCAAGAAACCAGTTTCTCTTTGTTCATCAGAATCACATCCAAGATATCTGTTCACTTTGTCATCTCCTCTACCTTTTCTAGGATAAAATTACCATAAGTCAAGCTAAACATTAAAATGTTTTATCTTCTTTTTATTGGTGTCTTAGAATCTATCCTTCCCTATTTCCTTTCTATCAAGTCATCACTCGCAACAGATATTAGAGAAAAGAAAAAGCAGCTGAATAAAACTAACTGAATCTGACATTATGCGACCACATCTGACAGTATGTACTATTCCATACCCATAGTCCCCCACCACTGCAATGAAGGCAAAGAGCTGCATTTTCTCAACTCTTCTCTGAAACAAAGCTTAATTATTATTATTACTCTGGGATTAGCAGAAAGAATATTTTAGGAGATGTCTTTGTAGTTACTGCTATATCACTACTATAGAATTCTTCCATGCCAGGTTTGTGATTCATTTTTCAAGTTCCTTGTCTAATTCTTCCAGGTGGTCTATAAGATGGCCCCACAGCAATGTCTCTCCCATTGTCCTCTTCATTGCTCCTCCCCCAAATGCTCTCCATGGTGCTTTTCTTTCCCAGTTCTTATATTTACTCACTTGAGCATATCTTCTTAATATTCCATCCTATAACCCTCTCCCTGTACTATCATCCAGTAGTTACCTTTTAAATAGGTGTTGGGAAACTACAAGACTTTCTGCTGGCTAGAATGCCGTGCAAATCTCAAGGCTTTTGGTGCTGGCAAACAAACATCAGGAAGAAAGAACTGAGGCCTCGGTACTTTACTTGGGCCTCTGTTCTTACAATATCTTCCTTTTATTCCAACCAAAGAAGAAATTAGAGCAAGATATATTTTATCAACTTCCACACAACTCTTATGATTTTTATGGGCTATAATCCCTGAAATAGGTTTGGAGAATACAGGTATCCATCCTCCAACTAGTACCTCCAGAGGCATGCCACTGGCCTCCATCCTTCCTGGGAGGTTACAGCTTCTTCTTTACCTGGTCAGTTTCCATTCTGCTGGTTTTGCTCATTATCACCACTCTCCCAGCTCCCCAACACTTGCCTTTCCATTCCACTTCTTGCTCTGAAAAATGCAATCAAATCAACAGTGACCAATGGACTGCTCTATTTTTCTACTCGACGTCTTTGTGACTCCCCAGAGCAAAGCTCCTTTCCCTGGCCACCACTCTATAATATGTTTTTTCTCTCCTATTAGAGGGCAAGCTACTTGAGGACAGGGACTGTCTCACTTTTTGTGCTTATGTGTCCAGAACTTTGAACAATGCTTGGCATATAGTGTTTAATAAATGTTTTTCACTCATTCATTCATACCATTCAGTCATAGTCATGACAATTTTATTCCCTAAATGTCTTAAAAAACCACCACAAAGCACATGACTTTCAGATCTACATCTCCAGTTCCAACCTTTCTTCAGTGCTCAAGACCCTCAACTCAAAGGACCCTTAGGACTTCTCCATTTAGATACATTTTCAGCTCCTTAACCTCACTACATCACACAATAAGTTTATTTTTATCCTTCCCAAAGCTGCTCCTCTGGAATTCACCATTTTAAAATCAGATGCACCTTTATTCACCCATTTCCTTATGTTTCAGGAATCTCTGATGCCCACTGTCTCTCATCCTTAACATCAAATGCACTGCCAATTCCTCTTCATCCTGCCTCCAAAACAGCTTTCCCAGCCTTCCTTTCTGTTCTCACTGGGACCACCCTGGCACTAGCCCTCCTTCCCCTTTGCCTGGAGTCTTCCATTAGCTTCCATTTATGTTACCCCAGCTCTACTCTCTCCCTCCACTCTTCCATCAGCTGCCAGCCTCATCTGCCCAGCACAGGCCATTCCTGCTCTCCAGAATTTTCAGGGGCTCATTATTGTGGAATTCACTCTGGTTTGCTTGGCCATCACACTGGGCTAACCTCCCAATCTGGTGCCATTCTGCCTTTCCAACCTTATCTCATCTTCCTCTGTGTGCTCTGTACTTCAGTTAGAATGGACCAGACCTTGTGACCCGAAGATGTCCTGCCCTTCCTGTTTCCATGCTTTGGCTCACACAGTTCCCTGGGCTTGGACCATCCTTCTTCTTTCTTTTCCTGTTGAGTCTCTCCCAGTCTTATAAAGTCCAATTCAAATATCACCACCTCTAGAGAGACTTCCTTGATTCCTGTATCAACATCTTCTCCATCAATATTCACACACCATATCATTTTGCAATTTCATCATGTCTTTCTCCTATATTATTATGTATTAAAATTAAGCCTCTTGATATTTTATTCCCTTCTTAAAACGAGCAGCTTGATGGCCAGACTTGTCTATACTTTGTATCTTATCCACCAAAGTAGAGGGATCTATATACAGTAGATGCTCAATATATGTTTATGAAATTGAATGAAATTATGTCCCCCAACATCTAGCATTTCATTATCTGCATCTCTCCATTAAGGACCAGTGATTTTATCAGTGCAGGAACAGCTAGAATGAATAGTCTTTTGGCACAGACCTTAGCACAGAGAGGTCCACTGACTTGCCTATTGTCACACAATGAATAAGAGTCGAAGGTAGCATATGAATTCAATTCTTTCTGACTCTATGTCCAGCACTCAATCCACTAGGCCATACTACTTTTCATTTTGCTATATATATATATATATATATATATATTTTTTTTTTTTTTTTTGGCTGGGCAATGGGGTTAAGTGACTTGCTCAGTGCCACACAGCTAGTAAGTGTCTGAGGCCGGATTTGAACTCAGGTCCTCCTGACTCCAGGGCTTCTCTCCTCTGCTCCATCCCTACCCTGAGGGCCTAGGACAGTCTGGACAGGCCTGTCCAGACTCTCAGTAGGGATATCTTGCCCTGACAGAAAAAACCCTGCTCTGAAACATTTTAGGAAGAGCCTTGAGGCAGGGAGGGGCCACTTCTGGACTGGGGACCATGGTTAGTTCTGGACTTTGGCATCATCCAGCCTCAAGAGAATTTCCCTCTGACCATGGCTACAGCTCAGAGAATAATTAGCTCCCTGAAAAGCTGCCCTCTTATAGAACAGAGCAGTTCAAATCTGAGTTTCCCGCTAGAAGAGACAATATTCATCATTTAATTCAAAGTTCTTATTTCACATTTGGGAAACTGAGGCCCTAAGCAGCAAAGGGACTTATTTACCCAAAGTACCTGAGAAGTGGCAGAGATGGGCTTTGACCCTAGTTCTCCTGAACCCAAATCCAGCTTCCACTTTTGTTTATTTTTTTAAAATCTGCTTTATTTTTAATTTATGGAATAAAACAAATATTTCTATAGCATAGTATGATTAAAAAAAGATGATTGCACATGAAACTGTAAATCTGCTATGTACAATTTGCTGTTCCTTTCAAATATACAACAAAATTATCATGTAAATTTTTTTTCTTCCCTATGCCCCACTCCCCAGCTGTACCCTAGAGATGGCTACAATTAGACAGAAATAGATATATACATTGTGAGTACCTCTTGAGCCCCTCATCACCCCAAGAGGGCCAAAAACCTGGACTGGCCATTCTGGACTGACATATCAATAGTGTTTTGCATGACCTCTGAGTGAACCCCAAATCCTCCTGCTGTATCAACAACCACAAGACCAGATTAAGATTGCACAGATATCCTGAGTCAGGGGCACTTTGCCTTATAAATACTGTAATCTTGGCTAGCAAAAGGACAGATATCCTGAGTGAAGGGCATTTTCTTTCTTATTTGGAACTGTAATCTTGGCTGACAAAAGGCCACACAAGGCTGACAAAAGGCTGACAAAAGTGCCCCTGAGTCAGGGGCACTTCCTTGCTTCATGGCTTTATAATCTGTGTAAGAGCCAGTTCAGTTCTGACTGTAGCTCCCAAGTATGCATGCCACCCACTTGAGAAAAATCAATAAGCATACACCTTAATTCTGTTTGTCTTTCTTAGATTGAATTCTGCAGGTTGACACTTCTGGTGCCATGACTTGGATAGGACAGTGACTAGAGATCTGACCCTTCCCCCTGGCAGTGCCATGCTTGGTGCCACAGGACCTATTCTTCTGAAGTTCAGGCCCTGAGCTTGGGCAGGGAGCGGGGGAGAGTTAAGTCTCTTCCCTATTCCCCACTCCTATCCTCAGACTGCTGCAGATTCTGTGCAGTCTGCACTTCTCTTGGTTTTAAGTAAAATTAAGTCTTTGTGTCCAAACCTCCAAACAAGTCTTGGATAGTTGTTGGGATTTGAGGGAGTAGGAAAAGTAGCGAGAACCCAAAAATGAGTTTTGAGGACACAGACCCTTAAACAACTCATTCATTGAAGTTGTGAGGGATTTTCTATCTCCTAGTCAGGGGATTATTTGGAAGCAAGCATTCCCAGTAAGCACTGGACAAAGATAATTTAAAAAAAAAAAAGAGCCAATTGTAGTTTGGAACATTCTGATGGCATTTGTTTATTGCCTACCTAAATATGGTGGCTCAGGATCCCTGGTCCCAGAGAACAAGGTCACTTATAGTTAAAAAGTTTCTTGGAATTCCCATCAGTTCCTTGGTTGTGAGCTTCTAACCCCAAAACCCATTTTGGGGGGTGCTCAACAGTCTCCATAGAATCTGTGTAGAGGATTCTGGGGCTCAAATTCCCACTAACTCCAAGGATTTTTTTGATTGACACACAAATGAGTCAAGCTAGAAAGCAAGAAACAAGACTGGGTGAATCAGGCAGCATCCAAACCTTGCCTTTTGTGCATGTGTGTGTGTGTGTTTGTGTGTGTGTGTGTGTGTGTGTGTGTGTACTCACATTTATACATTTATAAAATATCCAACATATAGTACATATGTAATATCTGATTATATTAATATACTTGCTGGCCACAAAGCATAGATTGTGTATGGGTTATATTCTAGGTTGGCAAAAATTCTCTGGTTTTCCCATATTATGAATATTTAATATGACCTGTTAGTAGAACAGAGAGAAATTTAAAGTGCCTAGGTTTAGATGGATTCTCTGAGATACTTGAAAGTTTTTCAATATTGCTCTCATAGATATCTCACATTTTGTACAAGAATATTAAAGGGTGGAATGTTTAGGGGCTGAGCCAAGATGGCAGAGTAAAAGCAGGGACTTGCTTGAGCTCTCCCCTAAACCCCTCCAAATAACTGTAAAAAATGACTCTAAACAAATTATGGAGCAGCAGAACCCACAAAAGGACAGAATGAAACAAATTTCCAGCCCAAGACAACCTGGATGGTTGATAGGAAAGGTCTGTTGTGAGGCTCTGGGAGAGGAGCACAGTTCAGCATGGGCCACATAGGCAAAGACTTGGCCAGAGGAAACCTAGAACAGGCCTCAGGGGACTGAATCAAGGGAAGCTGTGACAGTTTCCAAACTTCTTAACCCACAAATACCAAAGACAACTTAGAAGATCAGTGGGAAAGGTCTGTTGGACCTAGGTAAGAGAGGCCTGTGGTCCAGCCCTGGCCCTAGTGCAGCCCCTGGGTAGCCACAGCAGCAGCAGTAGCTTCTGGAGTTCTTGGCCCATAGACGATGGGGGGATTGAGTGACTGATCAGAAAGAGACTGCAGGAATCTCTTTGCTGGCCCTGAGGCAGGATTCTCTTGCTTTGCCAATGGTACTTGGATCTGGATCACAGTCTATGTGGTGGTCCTGGGGCAAGAAGGAGCGCTGGTGTGGTGAACCTTGCGGCAGTAGTGGAGAGGGAATCCCCCTCCCAGTTCTAAGGCAGAAAAGAGTGCTTGTGGTCACTTGTAGACCAGAGCATAAGCCAGGAAGGCCTGTCCTAAACACCTCTCCTTTAATCATACCACCTTGGAAGAACTGAAAATTTACAGGTCCCTAGAAGTATCACTGAAAACAGCTGCACAAAACCCCTGAAACTTGGGACAGTACACCCTCCACACTGGAAGCAGAGCCCTACCTTAACAAAGAGTTAAAAAGTCAAGTAATTGTCTGGGAATATGAGCAAACAGTGGGAAAAAATTCAGACTATAGAATCTTTCTTT